ATAAGGTCCCACAGTTGACAGTGCATGTCAGAGCAAAAACCAAGCCGTGAGGTCGAAGGAATTGTCCGTAGAGCTCCGAGACAGGATTGCACAGACCTGGGGAAGGGTAACAAAAAATGTCTGCATTATTGAAGGTCCCCAAGAACACAGTGCCCTCCATCATTTTTAAATAGAAGAAGTTTGGAACCACCAAGACTCTTCCTAGGGCTGGCCGCCCGGCCAAACTGAGCAATCGGGGGAGAAGGGCCTTGGTCAGGGAGGTGACCAAGAACCCGATGGTGACTCTGACAGAGCTCCAGAGTTCCTCTGTGGAGATGGGAGAACCTTCCAGAAGGACAACCATCTCTGCTGCGCTCCACCAATCAGGCCTTTATTGTAGAGTGGCCAGACGGAAGCCACTCCTCAGTAAAAGGCACATGACAGCCCGCTTGGAGTTTGCCAAAAGGCACCTAAAGGACTCGCATACCATGAGAAACAATATTCTCTGGTATGACGAAACGAAGATTGAACTCTTTGGCCTGAATGCCAAGCGTCACGTCTGGAGGAAACCAGGCACCATCCCTACGGTGAAACATGGTGGTGGCAGCATCATGCTGTGGGGATGTTTTTCAGCGGCAGGGACTGGGAGACTAGTCAGGATCGAAGGAAAGATGAACGGAGCAAAGTACAGAGGTATCCTTGATAAAAACCTGCTCCAGGATCTCAGACTGGGGCGAAGGTTCACCTTCCAACAGGACAACAACCCTAAGCACACAGCCAAGACAACGCAAGAGGGGCTTCGGGACAAGACTCTGAATGTCCTTGAGTGGCCCAGCCAGAGCACAGAGACCTGAAAATAGCTGTGCAGCAACGCTTCCCATCCAACCTGACAGAGGTTGAGAGGCTCTGCAGAGAGGAATGGGAAACTCCTCAAATATAAGCTTGTAGCGTCATACCGAAGAATATTCTAGGCTGTAATCACTGCCAAAGGTGCTTCAACAAAGTACTGAGTAAAGGGTCTGAATACTTATGGAAATACGATAGTTCGTTATACATTTCCTTATAGAAATTTGCAAAAACTTATATAAACCTGTTTTTGCTTTGTCATTATGGGGTATTGTGTGTAGATTGAGGGGGGATTTTTTTTTTTTTCATCAATTTTAGAATAAGGCCGTAACGTAACAAAATGTGGAAAAAGTCAAGGGGTCTGAATACTTTCAGAATGCACTTGGTTTCTTACCAAGACAACATTGAATGTTCCTGAGTGGCCTAGTTACAGTTTTGACTTAAATCGTCTTGAAAATCTATGGCAAGACTTGAAAATGGCTGGCTAGCAATGATCGACAACCAACTTGACAGAGCTTTATGAATTTTTAAAAGAATAATGGGCAAATATTGTATAATCCAGGTGTGCAAAGCTCTTAGAAACTTACCCAGAACGACTCACAGCTGTAATCACTGCCAAATGTGATTTCTAACATGTATTGACTAAGGGGGTTGAATACTTATCTAATGAAGTTATATTAGTGTTATATTTTTATTATTGTTATATTTTTTGAAGTTTTCTTCCATTATGACATTACAGAGTATTTTGTGTAGATCGTTGACACTTTGTAACACAATACAATTTGGAAAAAGTCAAGGGGTGTGAATACTTTCTGAAGGCACTGTATGATCCTTTATTGATGTCACTTGTTAAATCCACTTCAATCAGTGCAGATGAAGGGGAGGACACTGGTTAAAGAAGGATTTTTAAGCCTTGAGACATGGATTGTGTATTTGTTCCATTCAGAGGGTGAATGGGCAAGACAAAATATTTACAGTGGGGGAAAAAAGTATTTAGTCAGCCACCAATTGTGCAAGTTCTCCCACTTAAAAAGATGAGAGAGGCCTGTAATTTTCATCATTCACTATGACAGACAAAATGAGATTTTTTTTCTCCAGAAAATCACATTGTAGGATTTTTAATGAATTTATTTGCAAATTATGGTGGAAAATAAGTATTTGGTCAATAACAAAAGTTTCTCAATACTTTGTTATATACCCTTTGTTGGCAATGACACAGGTCAAACGTTTTCTGTAAGTCTTCACAAGGTTTTCACACACTGTTGCTGGTATTTTGGCCCATTCCTCCATGCAGATCTCCTCTAGAGCAGTGATGTTTTGGGGCTGTCGCTGGGCAACACGGACTTTCAAATCCCTCCAAAGATTTTCTATGGGGTTGAGATCTGGAGACTGGCTAGGCCACTCCAGGACCTTGAAATGCTTCTTACAAAGCCACTCCTTCGTTGCCCGGGCGGTGTGTTTGGGATCATTGTCATGCTGAAAGACCCAGCCACGTTTCATCTTCAATGCCCTTGCTGATGGAAGGAGGTTTTCACTCAAAATCTCACGATACATGGCCCCATTCATTCTTTCCTTTACACGGATCAGTCGTCCTGGTCCCTTTGCAGAAAAACAGCCCCAAAGCATGATGTTTCCACCCCATGCTTCACAGTAGGTATGGTGTTCTTTGGATGCAACTCAGCATTCTTTGTCCTCCAAATACGACGAGTTGAGTTTTTACCAAAAAGTTATATTTTGGTTTCATCTGACCATATGACATTCTCCCAATCCTCTTCTGGATCATCCAAATGCACTCTAGCAAACTTCAGACGGGCCTGGACATGTACTGGCTTAAGCAGGGGGACACGTCTCGCACTGCAGGATTTGAGTCCCTGGCGGCGTAGTGTGTTACTGATGGTAGACTTTGTTACTTTGGTCCCAGCTCTCTGCAGGTCATTCACTAGGTCCCCCCGTGTGGTTCTGGGATTTTTGCTCACCGTTCTTGTGATCATTTTGACCCCACGGGGTGAGATCTTGCGTGGAGCCCCAGATCGAGGGAGATTATCAGTGGTCTTGTATGTCTTCCATTTCCTAATAATTGCTCCCACAGTTGATTTCTCCAAACCAAGCTGCTTACCTATTGCAGATTCAGTCTTCCCAGCCTGGTGCAGGTCTACAATTTTGTTTCTGGTGTCCTTTGACAGCTCTTTGGTCTTGGCCATAGTGGAGTTTGGAGTGTGACTGTTTGAGGTTGTGGACAGGTGTCTTTTATACTGATAACAAGTTCAAACAGGTGCCATTAATACAGGTAACGAGTGGAGGACAGAGGAGCCTCTTAAAGAAGAAGTTACAGGTCTGTGAGAGTCAGAAATCTTGCTTGTTTGTAGGTGACCAAATACTTATTTTCCACCATAATTTGCAAATAAATTCATTAAAAATCCTACAATGTGATTTTCTGGAGAAAAAAATTCTCAATTTGTCTGTCATAGTTGACGTGTACCTATGATGAAAATTACAGGCCTCTCTCATCTTTTTAAGTGGGAGAACTTGCACAATTGGTGGCTGACTAAATACCTTTTTTTCCACACTGTAAGTGCCTTTGAACGGGGTATGGTAGTAGGTGCCAGGCGCACTGGTTTGTGTGGAGAACCGCAACGCTGCTGGGTTTTTCACGCTCAACAATTTCCCGTGTGTATCAAGAATGGTCCACCACCCAAAGGACATCCAGCAACTCAATAGTAGGAAGTTGTTCCTAATGTTTGATAGACTCAGTGTAGTTGCTGTGTAATTCTTAGCTTGTAGCTGAATTTGTCTTGTTTTGCCAATAGGGCTGTCCCCGACTGAAAATAATCTTGGTTGACCGACTCAAGAGGGAGCCAGAGATCAAGATAACCAGAAGAAGTCTAAGGCTAGAATTAGGCTCATTTGCGGATACACAGATAAATTAAAGAAGAGGTTTGGCATTATATGTTAATAGTAATAAACCATACAATTCGGGAAAAAACATTGTTATCAAATAAAACAAAATGATTAGTGTTGCACCATTGTTCTTACATAATATAACCATATACAATTTCAGTAGCACATCAGTGGAGGCTGGTGGGAGGACCTATAGGAGGTCATGCTCATTCTAATGGCTGGAATGGAATTAATGGAATGGTATCAAACATATGGAAACCACATGTTTGACTCCATTCCAATTTTTCTATTCCAGCCACTACAATGAGCCTGTCCTCCTATAGCTCCTCCCACCAGCCTCCACTGTAGCACATATATGTCTTAGAGTGATGGACTGTGCCATACCCGCGGCCTCCGCAATGGATTAGTCCACTGAGACAGGCACGAATCAGCCGGGTGTCTCGTGTGGCATAAAAAACAAAACAATTTGCGACTGCTCAACAAAAAACATCTCTGTCGACCAACAGCCTATCGACCAAACAACCGACCAGTCGACTAAATGGGGTCAGCCCTAATTGCCAATCTGCTGTGTCAAACAAGGCACTCATTTCTTTCCCTCTGAATACAATCCCATTGTATATATAATGTTACTGAGTGTACAATTGGTAAACTAATAACCAACATACCTAGTTCACAGGACACTATAAAGAGCAGTTATCTGTATTTATCTAGACTGGCACAAAGGAGAGAGGTTGTCTATTGTTTACAGTTCCTAGCACCGGAAAGAGGAGCCCGGTACGCTGTGACACAGCGCTGTATAATCTCCCCATGTTTGCACATCCTGCTTTCACACCCACCTCTGTGCTCTTACAGCTTCTGGTTCTACTCTATTTCTTCCAAGCCCCATAAAACAAGTATATTTTTATATTGGATGTAACCTACTGGTTAGAGCACATGTACTGTAATATAAACAATTTCAGTAATAAGGGTGATCGATTTATTCATGATTTTTTCAAATTAAATATAATCGATCTGTACATACAGTGGTTTGTGGAGGTGTGGGTAATGGTTATACTATAATTGTGGTACATCTTTAGGGAACGTAATTGATCATAGGTAGGACCTTATTATCTTTGCCAACAGTTACATAACATAACAGAATACATCTAATACATATAATATACAGAATACATAATTGCACTGAACATACGTAAACATTTATACATGACTAATTGGAACGTAAACACTCAAGGGGGGCATATTTCTCTGTATTTATCAGTCTTGAAGGCTGACCCCTATCAGTCTTGACCCCTCTCACACTTTAAAATGTGCAGTTTAGCCATTAAGCTCCTTAAGCAGTGACTGAGCATGCTCCTGACAGCCACAGAGGAGAAGTAGAAGATGATGGGGTCCAGGCAGGCGTTGAGGGTACTGGAGAGCAATGCTACATCCCTCCAACTTTCGCTGTCTTTCCGGATGAACCCCACCACATGGGATACGTTATAGGGCCCAAAGCAGAGGGCAAACACTAACAGGGTGCCCAGTGCCAGCCCGATGGCCCGCAGGCGCCGCCGCCGCCCGATGTTGGGCAGCCGAGACAGGATACGGATGAAGTTGACATAGCAGAAGGTGCAGACCAGGAAAGGGACGCAGAAGAGGACCAGGAATAGCTCCAGACGCACTGGGAGAAGGATGCTGAGCTGTTCTTGGGTGAAGTTCAGGTAGCACTTTGTTGGGGAATCGTCCATAGTGGTCCCATTGCCGTATATCCAGTGGGAGCAGGGCACAATGTACACGATGCTGAGGTTCAGTGATGACACCACCCAACATATGATGCTGGCCACCACAGCATAGCGCGGCCTGTGACACAAGGCGTATCTGATAGGGAAGGCCACACCAACGTAGCGCTCCACACTCACCGCGGTCAGGAGGAGGGTGCTGTTGTAGATGGTGGAGTAGAACAGGAAACCAGTGACTGGACACAGGAAGAAGGGGAGGTTCCAGTTCATGTCATCAACAGCCTCCTTTATCTTGAAGGGCAGGAAAGTGAGGAAGATGAGGTCGGAGATGGTCAGGTTGAGTAGCAGGATGTCGATGGGGGCAGGTTTGCAGCGCACCTTTTGGCAAAAGGTGCATAATGCCAGGATGTTGGCAGGTACCCCAATCAGGAAGGTGACAATGTAAACAGACAGCAACAGATGAGTGATCGGCATGGCGATTAGCCTACTCCATCAGTCACAGACACTTGGAGACTCTCAACACAACTGGAAAGAGAAAAGGGTGCGTTGGAATGTGTAACATCACTTGTGGGGCTGTTGCCGCAAATACAGTACCTTCAGAAAGTATTCACATCCCTTGACTTTTTCCACGTTTTGTTGTGTTACAGCTTGAATTTTAAATTGATAAAATTGATATTTTTTGTCACTGGCCTACACAAATGTTGACATTTTAACAAAGAAATAAAAAATTAAAAGCTGAAATGTCTTGAGTCAATAAGTATTCAACCCCTTTGTTATGGCAAGCCTAAATAAGTTCAGGAGTAAAAATTTGCTTATCAAGTCGTATAATAAATTGCATGGACTCACTCTGTGTGCAATAATAGTGTTTAATGTGATTTTTGAATGACTACCTCATCTCTCTCGAAAAGCAGACATTGAATATCCCTTTGGGCATGGTGAAGTTATTAATTACACTTCGGATGGTGTATCAATACATCCAGTCACTACGAAGATACAGGCGTCCTTCCTATCTCAGTTGCCAGACAGGAAGGAAACCGCTCAGGGATTTCACCATGAGGCCAATGGTGACTTTAAAACAGCTACAGAGTTTAATGGCTGTGATAAGCGAGAACTGAGGATGGATCAACAACATTGTAGTTACTCCACAACACTCACCTAATTGACAGAGTGAAAAGAAGGAAGCCTATAGAGGATACAAATATTCCAATACATGCATCCTGTTTGCAATAAGGCACTAAAGTAAAACAGCAAAAAATTTGGCAAAGTAATTCACTTTTTGTCCTATGTTTGGGGCAAATCCAATAGAACACATTACTTAGTACCACTCTACATATTTTCAAGCATAGTGGTGGCTGCATCGTGTTATGGGTATGCTTGTAATCGTTAAGGACGGGAGTGTTTCAGGATAAAAAATAAATGGAATGGAGCTAAGCACAGGCAAAATCCTAGAGGAAAACCTGGTTCAGTCTGCTTTCCACCAGACACTGGGAGATTAATTCACCTTTCAGCAGGACAATTACCTAAAACGCAAGGCAAAATCTACACTGGAGTTGCTTACCAAGAAGACAGTGAATGTTCCTGAGTGGCCTAGTTACAGTTTTGACTTAAATGTGCTTGAAAATATATGGCAAGATTTAAATTTGACAGTTTGAAGAATTTTGAAAAGAATCATGGGCAAATATTGTACAATCCAGGTGTGCAAAGCTCTTAGATACTTACCCAGAAAGACTCACAGCTGTAATCGCTGCCAAAGGTGATTTTAACATGTATTAACTCAGGGGTGTGAATACTTACAGTATGTAAATGAAATATTTCTGTATTTCTGAATTTTCAATACATTTGTTTTCACTTATGGGGTATTATGGGGTATTGTGTGTAGATGGGTGCTGGAAAAAAAAGGCTGTAACACAACAAAATGTGGAATAAGTCAAGGGGTATGAATACTTTCTGAAGGCACTGTATGTTACCAAAAAGGTGTCCCAAATCCAAATAAAATCAAAACAAATGATATTTGTCACATACACGTGTTTAGCAGATGTTATTGTGGGTGTAGCGAAATGCTTATGCTTCTAACTCCGGCAGTGCAGTAATATCTAACAAGTAATTTCGAAGAATTTCACAACAAATACCCAATACACACAAATCTAAGTAAGGAATGGAATTTAAGAATATATACATATATGGACAAGCAATGACAGAGCGGTATGGACTAAGATACAGTAGAATATTATAGAATACAGTATATACATATGAGATGAGTAATGCAAGATATGTAAACATTATTAAAGTGACTAGTGTTCCATTTCTTAAAGTGGCCAGTGATTTCAATAGGCAGCAACAGCCTCTAATGTGCTAGTGATGGCTATTTTACAGTCTGATGGCCTTGAGATAGAAGCTGTTTTTCATTCTCTCTGTCCCAGCTTTGATGCACCTGTACTGACCTCGCCTTCTCCTTTGTTTTGTTGACGTTGAGTGAGAGGTTATTTTCCTGGTACCACACTCCCAGAGCCCTCTCCTCCCTGTAGGCTGTCTCGTCATTGTTGGTAATCAAGGCTACTACTGTTATGTCGTCTGCAAACTTGATGATTGAGTTGGAGGCGTGCTTGGCCACGCAGTCATGGGTGAACAGGGAGTACAGGAGGGGGCTGAGCACGCACCCTTGTGGGGCACCAGTGTTGAGGATCAGCGATTTTGTTTCCTACCTTCACCACCTGGGGGCGGCCCGTCAGGAAGTCAGGACCCAGTTGCACAGGGCGGGGTTCAAACCCAGGGACTCGAGCTTAATGATGAGCTTGGAGGGTACTATGGTGTTGAATGCTGAGCTATAGTCAATGAACAGCATTCTTACATAGGTATTCCTCTTGTCCAGATGGGATAGGGCAGTGTGATGGTGATTGCATCATCTGTGGATCTATTGGGGCGGTAAGCAAATTGAAGTGGGTCTAGGGTGACAGGTAAGGTAGAGGTTTATGATCCTTGACTAGTCTCTCAAAGCACTTCATGATGACAGAGGTGAGTGCTACGGGGCGATAGTCATTTAGTTCAGTTACCTTTGCTTTCTTGGGTACAGGAACAATGGTGGCCATCTTGAAGCATGTGGGGACAGCAGACTGGGATAGGGAGAGATTGAATATGTCCAGCTGGTCTCCGCATGCTCTGAGGATGCGGCTAGGGATGTCTGGGCCGGCAGCCTTGCGGGGGTTAACATGCTTAAATGTCTTACTCATGTCGGCTACGGAGAAGAAGGTGTTTAGCTTGTATGGAGCGAGATGTCGGTGTCGGCTACGGGGCTGGTTTTCCTTTTGTAGTCCGTGATTGTCTGTAGACCCTGCTACATACGTCTCGTGTCTGAGCCGTTGAATTGCATCTCCACTTTGTCTCTATACTGATGTTTTGCCAGTTTAATTGCCTTGCGGAGTGAGTAGCTACGCTGTTTGTATTCTGCCATATTCCCAGTCACCTTGCCATGGTAAATGCGGTGGTTCGCGCTTTCAATTTTGAGCAAATGCTGCCATCTATCCACGGTTTCTGGTTAGGGTAGGTTTTAATTGTCACAGTGGGCACAACATCTCCTATACACTTCCTGATAAACTCAGTCACCGTTTCAGTGTATTCGTCTAAATTATTTTCGCAAGCTACCCGGAACATATCCCAGTCCGCATGATCAAAACAATCTTGAAGCTGGATTCCGATTCCGATTGGTCAGACCAGCGTTGAATAGTCCTTAGCACAGGTACTTCCTGTTTGAGTTTCTGCCTATAGGAAGGGAGGAGCAAAATGGAGTCGTGGTCAGATTTGCCGAAAGGAGGGCGGGGGAGGCCCTTATAACCATCCCAGAAGTTCGAGTAGCAATGGTTTAGGATTTTAGCAGTCCGAGTACAAGAGTCGATATGTTGATAGAACTTCGGCAGCCTAGTCCTCAAATTTGCTTTGTTAAAATACAATAAATGCAGCCTCAGGATATGTGGTTTCCAGTTTGCATAAAGTCCAGTGATGTTCTTTGAGGGCCGTCGTGGTATCGGTTTGAGGGGGGATATACACGGCCGTGACTATAACCGAAGAAAATTCTCTTGGGAGATAATACGGTCAGCATTTGATTATGAGGTATTCTAGGTCGGGTGAACAAAAGGACTTGAGTTCCTGTATGTTACTACAATTACACCATGAGTCGTTAATCATGAAAAACACACCTCCACCCTTCTCCTTCCCGGAGAGATATTTTTTTCTGTCTGCGCGATGAACTGAGAACCCATCTGGCTGGACCGATTTCGACAGAATATCCCCAGAGAGCCATGTTTACGTGGAATAAAGTATGTTACAGGCCCTGATGTCTCTCTGGAAAGAAATCCTTGCCCTGAGCTCGTCAACCTTGTTATTCAAAGACTGAACATTAGCGAGTAATATACTTGGAAGCGGTGGGTGGTGTGCGCGCCTCCTAAGTCGAACTAGCAGGCCGCTCCGAGTGCCTCTCCTCCGCCGGTGATGTTGTGGGTCAGCCGCTGGAATCAGTTTAATTGCCCTGGGGAGAGCAAAAAAAGGATCTGCTTCGGGAAAGTCGTATTCCTGGTCGCAATGCTGGTGAGTTACCGCCGCTCTGATATCCCAAAAAATACCGCAAAGTTTCCTAAGAGCTAGTCGCGAGGCTGCCATCTTCGTCGGCACCATGAGATACTAACTTTCAGACATTATCTGTCAGCAGTAGGAAACACTACTCATTAGCCATATTTTTGTCTGCTTTTGTGTTTTGATTTAATTGTTCACCTGTATAAAAACATAAGCCTCACCTTGAGGACCTTTTGGGCTTATTTATAAAACTTTAGTTACTGTAAATGTATCACCTGTGTTCTGAATAAGTTAAATCTTTAGTAGAGATTGGATTGATGCATAAATTCAGAATTCACTTAGAATGTTAACAAGATATACAGTAAAAGAGTGAATAGATGCTATTCAAGATTAATTTGATTCTGTATTTACAGTTTTTATAGGGGGGAGAAGTAGGTGATACATTGTCTGTTGTGGTAAAGTTTTATGAATAACCCCTCTTTTTTTACTGATACCTCATTCATACTATAACTAATGTGAGAGGAAATGTTCTAATAACAAACTCACCTCCATGGATCTTGAAAATCTTTAGCCTCAAGATCACAATGTCATCCGACTGGATCCTCAAATGTACTGGCAGCACAAAGTGTCTGCCAGATGCTGATTGTCAGATCCAATCAGAACACTCCTCCCTCACAGCATTACCTACTGACAAGTGGCTGTGATGTGATGTGCTGCGGAAATGTAATTAACTCCTGTCGCAATCTTTGTTCCCACAGCTCTCCAAACATTGTCTCTCAGCAACCCTTGAATGTCCAATGTGAGGTAACACATTTACATGGAAATGTGTTGCAATCACATTAAGGTCAGTGTAAAATAAAATGGTAGATAGTTGGTCAGTCATTAAATCATTGGGCTTTGATTGTGAAAATATGAGATATTGAAATAATCTGGGAATAATCAGATGTTTCTGCCCACCAAATGGCAGAGTCAATCTTTAGAGAGTTGCAACAGTGTTAGGGACTCATTTGAGCATGTGGTATGCTTGAAGAAAACAGAACACACCAATTTTTGTGAAGACAAATGTCTATCATTCACACTACAACATATATTTTTTAAACTCCCATGAATAGATGTTAGTAAAGAATCAAGTCTCTCACACTCCTGATGATAATCTAAGTGACTGACTGGCTATTAATAAGAAGGGGTTGGTGATGGGGGGTCAATCACATTTACACTGCACTCACTATACAGGCTCATAAATGACTGAAACCGCTGTCACATGTCAATGTTTGTTTTCAACTAATGATAATAGAGAAAAGCAATGTTGTTACATAATGATATTGATAAGACTTAATAAGGAGTTTATTGGCACTAGGTTCTTATCTGCATAAGAACAAAAACAAGTTTTAAGATGAGAGTATCAAAACATGACAATATAATGCATGCGGTATAGCATAAGACAAACTATATGCAATGACCACAATATAACTTTTCTGATAATAAAAAAAATGTACATAAATAATATTTTATATAATTAGTGCCACAGTCGCCGACCACATGAATGCCTTCCATGACTGCTAACCAGTTGCACCATCGAAAAGGATCCTCTTCATTGGCGACATTTCAAGCTGTGAAGTGAGCTGTTACAAAGGCAGTGGCTGAACATGCTCCTAAGAGCAGAGGAGAAGTAGAAAACTATAGGGTCCAGACTGGCGTTAAAGGTGTTTATCAGGTTGGCTTGTCGCGCCAAGTAGAGACTTTGGACATGAACCCCACGACATGGTTGGGACACATTGTAGGGCCCAAAACACAGGATGAAAACCAGCAGAGTACCCAGAGCCAGCCCGATGTTACGCAGGCGCTGCTGCCGGCGGATGTTGGGTAGCCAAGACAGGATACAGATGAAGTTGGCATAGCAGAAGCAGCAGATCAGGAATGGAATGCAGAAGAGAACTAGGAAAATCTCTAAACGTACAGGAAGAAGGATACTGAGCTGTACATTAGTGAAATCCCCATAGTATTATCATTGGTAACTTGGAATTGCATTACGAAGACAACACTGCAGTGGGCAAGGGACAGGATCCAGAAAACTACACAGGCCAACAGAGCGTTGCCAACCCTGCCTGATGCTGTGAATCTTATGGTATAAGTGACACCAAGGTAGCGCTCCACAGTCACCGCTGTCAGGAGGAGGGTGCTGTTGTAGATTGTGGTGTAGAAGTAGGGCTGTCAAATTCCACGTGACCATTTAGTCACGGTAATTAGGCTTCTCCAAGCTCTGATGCTGCTGATGGTCATTAGTAGTCTACCAAACTTGCTAACTGCCTGATACTCAGCACTCTATTGTCCCTCTAATCACTCTGACATCAATGCAAATGTAATCGAAAATCAAACACTTCATGACAGCCCATTAGCTCATGGTGTGCAACATTTCTATAGGCTATGCAATTGAGTGAGGAAACAGAGGGATGGCCTCTATTAAAAAGAGGAGGATCCCATCAGCTTTCTATAGGCTAGGCCCAATATATTTATTTCTCAACTTTCCTAATATTAAGCACATTGCTTATCATTACAACAGAAGTATAGCCTACCTGGCTGGCATGAAAATGAACCAAGGGAAAAGCGTCCTCCATTCGCTATTTAAGTGCATAGATGACATGTATTTTTCCCCCTGCCCCCGTTTCGAGACAGGTGCATGATAATGGTCCATTCTAAATCAAAACAAATTTCACACATATATTATTTAGTATATGTAAAGACAAGATTAAACGACGACATGGACAACATACAGCTAGCGGGCTATACGCTACATCGGCAGGATAGAACGGCTGACTCCGGTAAGACAAGGGGTGGCGGTCTGTGTATATTTGTAAACAACAGCTGGTGCACAAAATCAAATACTAAGGAAGTCTTGAGGTTTTGCTCGCCTGAGGTAGAGTATCTTTTTTTTTTTTTTTTTTTTTTTTTGTTGGGGGGGGGGATGGATCAGCTTAATATTGCAGACAGATTGTAACTTCCATCAATGTAATTGTCTGCATCACTTCCAATCCCCCATGTTTTTTATATATATACTCCCCTTTATTACTTTTCAACCCCGCCATCCTTTCCCTACTTGGAGTAAATTAGTGAACAACAATGCCCAGGCCTCTACTTCCGGTCTATACTTACTATCTACACCTTATGGACAGAGTTAATTTTACAATAATTCTATTTTATATATATATATATTTTTTTTTTTTGCTCCTGAACTTCTTCTACTCTCAACCTCTCCAATCATTTTCATGATGTCCATCCGGTTTGCTTCTATATGCCATATCTTTCTAACTGTGCTCTTTCCCAAAAGCTCCCAACATACAACCTATATACTTATTATGGACACAGTATGCTTACATTATTAGCTATCTTTGTTATTATTTGTTGTTATTTGTTATTAGTCCCATCCTTCAACTCTATTCAATACCTCCCATCTATCTCTTAACACCATCCATATAGGATTTCTATTTGCCATATATATTTCAACCGTACTGTGATGTTTTACAAAAGTTCTGAACCTTTCTATTCTCATTGCTTCTACAGATTGTGAATTAAAAATAAACATTTTTGCTAAAAGTATTATTATATTATTGATTTATTTTTTTATTTATTATTTTTGTCATTTAGCAGACGCTCTTATCCAGAGCGACTTACAGTTAGTGAATACATATTTTTTATTTTTTTTATACTGGCCCCCCGTGGGAATCAAACCCACAACCCTGGCGTTGCAAACGCCCCTAGCTAACATCCCTGCCGGCCATTACCTCCCCTACCCTGGACGACGCTGGGCCAATTGTGCGCCGCCCATGAGTCTCCCGGTCGCGGTCGGCTGCGACAGAGCCTGGATTCGAACCAGGATCTCTAGTGGCACAGTTAGCACTGCGATGCAGTGCCTTAGACCACTGCGCCACTCAGGAGCTCAGGAGCTTGATTGATTGACTATGACTTTTCAGATGACCCAGTAATGCTATCTGCAAGGTTAGCTCCAGGTAAATATTGCAATCCTTTAGCCATTCCTGGACCTGTGTCCAAAAACAAGCTACAAATGGACAGAACCAAAACAAATGATCTAATGATTCTGTCTCTTCACAGCAAAATCTGCAGAGCTGGGAAGATTGTATCCCCCATATAAATAACATTCTATTGGTAGCAAGAATTTTATATAATAATTTAAATTGAAAGATTCTAATTTTTGAATCCGGTGTCGTTTTGCGTGTCAGTTCATAAACACTATGCCATGGGATCGGTACGTCAAAGATCTCTTCCCAACTATTTTGCAATCTATATGGGACGGCTGTCAATCCTTTGGTCCTTAAGTGAAACTGATATACTTTTTTATTTATCACAGTTTTCCTTAACCAATTATGTTCTTTAATGCAAGGCCGACAGACAAGTTCCTTACTTTCTCCCCCTTCCACTTTCCTCTTCCACTTTTGCGGTAAGGCTGCAATTATTTGGTTGTAATTTTGGGTAGAGCAGACATTTCCATATGTTTTTGTTAGCTGCATGTGCGACATAACTCCACCAGTCCTACCGATGATATCATTTACGAAGATTATACCTTTTTTAAACATTCTGTCAAAAAATAAAGGTTTTTTGTCAATTAGTATATTTGAATTTAACCACAATATTTGTTGCATTATTTGTTCTGTCGTTTCTGGAGGATTAAATTGAAATTGCAACCAACTTTCTATGGCTTGTTTTAGAAATAGTGATATTTGGGAGATGATTTCCTTTTCAAATAACTGCAAATGAGTTGTTGTAATATGAATAAAGGGAAAAAGGCCTTTCTTGAACATTGGGTGAGACAATCTTACTAATTTGCTTGAGAACCAGTTCGGATTTAAGTATAACTTTTGTATGACTGAAGCTTTTAGTGATAGGTCTAATGCTTTAATATTTAATAATTTCTGTCCTCCGAATTCATATTCATTATATAAATATGCCCTTTTAATTTTGTCTGGCTTGCCGTTCCAAATAAAATTGAATATTTTTTTCTCATATAATTTAAAAAACTGTTCGCTAGGCGTAGGCAAGACCATAAGCAAATAGGTAAACTGGGATAATACTAAAGAGTTAATCAGGGTGATTTTATAAGCAAAAAACTAAAGCAGGAAGCACCAGTGACTCGGTTAATAAAAAAGTGTTCAGATGATGCAGATGCTAAGCTACAGGACTATTTTGCTAGCACAGACTGGAACATGTTCCGGCATTCTTCAGATAGCATTGAGGAGTACACCACATCAGTCACTGGCTTCATCAATAAGTGCATCGATGACGTCGTCCCCACAGTGACCGTACGTACATACCCCAACCAGAAGCCATGGATTACAGGCAACATCCGCACTGAGCTAAAGGGTAGAGCTGCCGCTTTCAAGGAGCGGGACTCTAACCTGGACGCTTATAAGAAATCCTGCTATGCCCTTCCGACGAACCATCAAACAGGCAAAGAGTCAGTACAGGACTAAGATTGAATCGTACTACACTGGCTCTGACGCTCGTCGGATGTGGCAGGGCTTGAAAAATATTACAGACTACAAAGGGAAGCACAGCCGCGAGCTGCCCAGTGACACAAGACTTCCAGACGAACTAAACCACTTCTATGCTCGCTTCGAGGCAAGCAACACTGAAGCATGCATGAGAGCACCAGCTGTTCCGGATGACTATGTGATCACGCTCTCCGTAGCCAATGTGAGTAAGACTTTTAAGCAGGTCAACATTCACAAGGCCGCAGGGCCAGACGGATTACCAGGACCTGTACTCCGAGCATGTGCTGACCAACTGGCAAGTGTCTTCACTGACATTTTCAACATGTCCCTGACTGAGTGTGTAATACCAACATGTTTCAAGCAGACCACCATAGTCCCCGTACCCAAGGACACTAAGATAACCTGCCTAAATGACTACCGACCCGTAGCACTGACGTCTGTAGCCATGAAGTGCTTTGAAAGGCTGGTCATGGCTCACATCAACACCATTATCCCAGAAGCTCTAGACCCACTCCAATTTGCATACCGCCCCAACAGATCCACAGATGATGCAATTTCTATCGCACTCCACACTGCCCTTTCCCACCTGGACAAGAGGAACACCTACGTGAGAATGCTATTCATTGACTACAGCTCAGCATTCAACACCATAGTGCCCTCTAAGCTCATCACTAAGCTAAGGATCCTGGGACTAAACACCTCCCTCTGCAACTGGATCCTGGACTTCCTGACGGGCCGCCCCCAGGTGGTAAGAGTAGGTAACAACACATCTGCCACACTGATCCTCAACACGGGGACCCCTCAGGGGTGCGTGCTCAGTCCCCTCCTGTACTCCCTGTTCACCCATGACTGCATGGCCAGGCACGATTCCAACACCATCATTAAGTTTGCCGACGACACAACAGTGGTAGGCCTGATCACCGACAACGATGAGACAGCCTATAGGGAAGGAGGTCAGAGACCTGGCCGTGTGGTGCCAGGATAATAACCTCTCCCTCAACGTGACCAAGACAAAGGAGATGATTGTGGACTACAGGAAAAAAAAGAGGACTGAGCACGCCCCCATTCTCATCGACGGGGCTGTAGTGGAACAGGTTGAGAGCTTCAAGTTCCTTGGTGTCCACATCACCAATGAACTATCATGGTCCAAACACACCAAGACAGTCGTGAAGAGGGCACGACAAAGCCTATTCCCCCTCAGGAGACTGAAAAGATTTGGCATGGGTCCTCAGATCCTCAGAAAATTCTACAGCTGCACCATCGAGAGAATCCTGACTGGTTGCATCACCGCCTGGTATGGCAACTGCTCGGCCTCCGACCGCAAGGCACTACAGAGGGTAGTGCGTACGGCCCAGTACATCACTGGGGCCAAGCTTCCTGCCATCCAGGACCTCTATACCAGGCGGTGTCAGAGGAAGGCCCTCAAAATTGTCAAAGACTCCAGCCACCCTAGCCATAGACTGTTCTCTCTGCTACCGCACGGCAAGCGGTATCGGAGCGCCAAGTCTAGGTCCAAAATACTTCTCAACAGCTTCTACCCCCAAGCCATAAGACTCCTGAACAGCTAATCATGGCTACCCGAACTAGTTGCACTAATTGTATTAATTTGGGATCTATCGCATCCCACAACTGTCCCAGACTGTTTGGAATATTTATTTCTCGCACAGAATAGAATAGGTCAACTTTTGTACTATGGGGGATGGTAGATTGACATAGGCTAGTGCTTTTGCTGTTCATTAGGCCTACTCATCTTGTTGGCTGATGAAAAGTAAACGTGTACAGTTCTTCCAATATCTTCAATATGCACCTCGGAATTGGATAAGGACGCGCGCAGTTGTGTCCCCGATGTGTCTGTCTTCACTTGTAGCCTGTGAGAAAGACCCGATCACGTGATGGAGAGCCATGTGGGTGAGAGGTGCTTCAGAGCAAGCAGCACTCAGGGAGAAGGGAACAGTGGCCACTGGCCGCAAAAGGCATGGATTTCTTTTAGGGTGCATTACGGCCACACAAAGGAGATGCCGCCTGGAAATTCGAGGCATTAGCAAGTGCTTGTCAAATTGTGAATGAGAGACTGATGAAGTGCGTACAGCCTGCACAAAGCAGAGCACTTGCCTTTCAAGCTACTTTTTTCAAATCATCATTAGAGTCGAATCATGCAGCCTTACAATGTATTAACAATCAAAACATATAGCCCAACATTTGTAGAACAACTAAAGTTACATTAATAACTCTAAATTAAGCATATAGGAGTACCTATTTCTTTGTTAACCACTCAACACAGAATAGCTGCATGTGCGCACTCCCTCAAATCGTTTAGATAAAATATCCTTTCTATTTTATCCAGCTTTGTTCAATTGTATTCTTCATACTATAAAATAATATAAAATAATGCCACGGAATGAGCTAGTGTAGCCCACAGCCATTTGGCACAGCCAGATCAGGACCTAACATAAGGACAACACAGAGTATGCTATTATGTTCTTCTGAAATAGACTACATTTTCTTCATATCATGTTTCTTTAGACCTGTCTAAAATAAATAATGGATTTATTGTGGTGTAGACTATATTACATGGATTTATTATACTTTTTTGAATGTAGATGTTCCAAAGGTCTGCATCAGTGGCTTGTAGGCTATGTGTGGAAGCCAGAAGATGCTAAATGTGTTTATGTTAATTAATGGTCAATTACCGTGAGACCAACAGTTATTTGCTTGACAATCACCGGCTGACGAAATTTCGTGACCACCACAGCCCTATGTAGAAGTTACTGGACACAAGAAGTAGTGGATGTTCCATTCCTGGTTGTCGGCCACCTCCATCTTGAAAGGCAGGAAGTTGAGGAAAATGAGGTTGGAGATGGTCAGGTTGAGTAGCAGGATGTCGATGGGGGCAGGTTTGTGGCGCACCTTTCGGAAAAAAGCACAAAATGCCAGCATGTTGGCAGGCACCCCGATCAGGAAGGTGGTGATGTAGACAAACAGTGCAAAGCCGCTGGGAAAGTCATCTGCTGCTGTCATGTGTAGTTACTATCAGAATTGTTGTCACTACAAGAAAGAGGAGAGCATCATGATATACTGACGGTTCAACTCAAAACTATTGGTAGGAGCCCACTGGGACAGACGCCAATTCAACATCTATTCCACATTGGTTAGACGTAATTTCATTGAAATGGCATGGAAACAATGTTGATTCAACCAGTGTGTGCCCAGTGGGAGGTAGCTACTATGAGTTGTGTTGTCATAGTTGTTGTCATATGTTATTTATAGTATTACTTATATTGTAGCAGTTTCCTTCACTGTCAACTAAGTGTCCATAAAGTTAAACCTTTGAATACTCAAACTTAATATTCTGAATATACTAACATGAGGTATCAATAATTAGACAGGATACATTTGCCCATTCCACAATTTTCTTCAAACTCACCTATTCAGTATCCCAGGGCCACTAAGACATTATGGAAACCAGAGAATCAGATCAAATTAAACAGTCATAGGAATCTGTCTTACCCTGGTCTAGGGAGTTGGAAGTATGGGGTAAGTTGAGCCACGGGACAGGGTAAGTTAAGCCACCTATACATTTCTGTATTGAATTAAATATTACCTCTACCTTTTTAAAACCATGTCTATCTTTATTTCCCAAACACAATTCAACATAATCACAATCGCTGTTTGTCCTTTAAGCATATTTTAACACAGGCTTAACACCTACCTATATGTACATATCTACCTCAATTACCTCGTACCCCTGCACACCGACTCGGGACTGGTCCCCCGTGTATGTAGCCAAGTTATCGTTACTCTTGTGTATTTATATCTTTCTATTATTTAAAAAATGTTATCTGCATTGTTGGGAAGGGCCCGTAAGTAATCATTTCACTGTTAGTCTACACCTGTTGTTTACGAAGCATGTGACGAATAAAATTAGATTTGAGATTTTATTTTAACAAAGACTTTGTACTTTTAAAAAACACTTTTAACATAGGCCAGGCCCTGTTGTTACCTCATATCCCAGCAATAGTGACTTGCCTGCGAAGAAAACACTTCCATTTTCTCAACTTGCCATTGGCTCAATTTACCCCAAGGCAAACATTTTGACTATATTAGCCCACACACAAGGATGCACTTTCATGCTAGGTTTAGGATCTCATATTGAAGCTTATAGAGACCCCAACTGAATTATAGAACAATCTTAAAATGATCTACTTTGGTTTAGATACAAGCATTATGAAACCTCTAACACAATAAATTAATTTGACTTGGTGAAAATCAGTTTTTTGGACCTAACTTGCTTACCACTTTTTCCATGTGGTTTCTTCCTTCACAGACTCCATGAAATGATGACGTCTTCCTAAATATTTGGTCAAATTATGCATTTTCTGTATGGTTTCCTTGAAACAAGGGTGGCTCAACTTACCCCTTTGGCTCAATTTACCCCACTCTCCCTTACATACAGTGGGGAAAAAAAGTATTTAGTCAGCCACCAATTGTGCAAGTTCTCCCACTTAAAAAGATGAGAGAGGCCTGTAATTTTCATCATAGGTACACGTCAACTATGACAGACAAATTGAGAAAAAGAAATCCAGAAAATCACATTGTAGGATTTTGAATGAATTTATTTGCAAATTATGGTGGAAAATAAGTATTTGGTCACCTACAAACAAGCAAGATTTCTGGCTCTCACAGACCTGTAACTTCTTCTTTAAGAGGCTCCTCTGTCCTCCACTCGTTACCTGTATTAATGGCACCTGTTTGAACTTGTTATCAGTATAAAAGACACCTGTCCACAACCTCAAACAGTCACACTCCAAACTCCACTATGGCCAAGACCAAAGAGCTGTCAAAGGACACCAGAAACAAAATTGTAGACCTGCACCAGGCTGGGAAGACTGAATCTGCAATAGGTAAGCAGCTTGGTTTGAAGAAATCAACTGTGGGAGCAATTATTAGGAAATGGAAGACATACAAGACCACTGATAATCTCCCTCGATCTGGGGCTCCACGCAAGATCTCACCCCGTGGGGTCAAAATGATCACAAGAACGGTGAGCAAAAATCCCAGAACCACACGGGGGGACCTAGTGAATGACCTGCAGAGAGCTGGGACCAAAGTAACAAAGCCTACCATCAGTAACACACTACGCCGCCAGGGACTCAAATCCTGCAGTGCCAGACGTGTCCCCCTGCTTAAGCCATTACATGTCCAGGCCCGTCTGAAGTTTACTAGAGTGCATTTGGATGATCCAGAAGAGGATTGGGAGAATGTCATATGGTCAGATGAAACCAAAATATAACTTTTTGGTAAAAACTCAACTCGTCGTGTTTGGAGGACAAAGAATGCTGAGTTGCATCCAAAGAACACCATACCTACTGTGAAGCAGGGGGGTGGAAACATCATGCTTTGGGGCTGTTTTTCTGCAAAGGGACCAGGACGACTGATCCGTGTAAAGGAAAGAATGAATGGGGTCATGTATCGTGAGATTTTGAGTGAAAACCTCCTTCCATCAGCAAGGGCATTGAAGATGAAACGTGGCTGGGTCTTTCAGCATGACAATGATCCCAAACACACCGCCCGGGCAACGAAGGAGTGGCTTCGTAAGAAGCATTTCAAGGTCCTGGAGTGGCCTAGCCAGTCTCCAGATCTCAACCCCATAGAAAATCTTTGGAGAGAGTTGAAAGTCCGTGTTGCCCAGCGACAGCCCCAAAACATCACTGCTCTAGAGGAGATCTGCATGGAGGAATGGGCCAAAATACCAGCAACAGTGTGTGAAAACCTTGTGAAGACTTACAGAAAATGTTTGACCTGTGTCATTGCCAACAAAGGGTATATAACAAAGTATTGAGAAACTTTTGTTATTGACCAAATACTTATTTTCCACCATAATTTGCAAATAAATTCATTAAAAATCCTACAATGTGATTTTCTGGAAAGAAAATTCTCATTTTGTCTGTCATAGTTGACGTGTACCTATGATGAAAATTACAGGCCTCTCTCATCTTTTTAAGTGGGAGAACTTGCACAATTGGTGGCTGACTAAATACTTTTTTTCCCCACTGTAGATGTTCGATTTCAGTGTTGCATTTAACTTGTAGGCGAACACCAATACATACAAGTGTGTTGTGGTATTGTTCTTTGCTGACTTGAAACTTGGGCCTCTATGTCATAAAGAGGTCAGGAAATCACCTAAATTAACTAAAATGTGATTTGTCACGTGCACAGGATACAGTAGGTGTAAACAGTACAGTGAAATGCTACTTGCAAGCGCTTCCTCAACAATGCAGTATTCAATATAAAAAAAAGGAAAGAAATATAAACGTGTCAAATTCAGAATAGATTCTTAAAAAGAGCACAGAATCAATACTAAGTCAGATAAAATACACACGAGAAATAAAAATACACAAGAGAATAAACACTATACACAAATAAATAGATTCCTTCCTACAAGCTCCTCTTACAATTTCCTCTTCTCCAGATAAAGATGACCCTCAAGGGTCATGTAAAAGCTACAGTGATAAGCATTGTATTTGATTCTGACATGAATGACTTGATGAGAAATCCAAAAGATAGTTGGCAAGAAAAGCAATAACATTAGGTAAGGATAATGTCTTAATAAGGAGTTTATTGGCAATAATAACTGATCATTAAAAAAGCATGACAATAAACTACATGTGTGATAACGCATAGACAATATACTATAAATTCAAATGCAACGACCACAATATGACTTTTCTGATACAGATATTTTTTTTATCAATAATTTGTGCAGCAATTGCATATTGATATTCTGGCATTTACAGTCTCAATAAGCATGACATAAGATTACCACAAAGACTAATTCGAAGCAGCTTCTTTATTCCCTTTAATGACATATTTTACAGTTTACCATTCTAATTCACTATTCTCATCATTACCCTCTGTACAAGTAATACAAGTTTACTGTAATAACCTTTGTGGGACACAAACTAAGGTACCAGTCACAGTCACCAGACAACATCATACTGTTTTCTTAGTCTCACTCTCACTCTAATTCTGCATACTGAACCAAATACATATGCAGATGAATGCAGACATTCTATAGCAGTTTCAGTTTCACACGCACAAATGGTATCAGAATTCTAGATCACATTGTGGAAATACACAATTTCAATGCTTCGTGTACACTTTGTATGGATGGACAACACTAATTTACTATTCACTGATTCACCGTGGGGTCTAATTTGTCCCCCTTGCGGCAGCAGCGCCAAACCTCTGGCTGGACGAATGGGTGGAGTCCATAGGGTCTGGTGTATTACCAGCATGAGCAGCTGTGGCCTTTGGATTGAACTTAGCCTTGATTCGCTTCAGGCAGAGGCTGAGAGTGCTCCTAACAGCTGAGGAGGAGAAGTAGAAGATGATGGGGTCCAGACAGGCATTTAAGGAGGTGAGCAGAATGGCCGTGTTACGCCAAGTAGGGACTTTATTCTGCATGATCCCCACTACATGGGACACGTTGTAGGGCCCAAAGCAGAGGGCGAAAACCAGCAGAGTTCCCATCGCCAGCCCGATGGCACGCAGGCGCCGGTGCTGGCCGATGTTGGGAAGCCTAGACAGGATACGGATGAAGTTGACATAGCAGAAGGTACTGATCAGGAAGGGGACACAGAAGAGAACCAGGGACATCTCTAAGCGTACTGGGAGAAGGGTAATAAGCTGGACATCAGTGAAATTCCCATAGCAGGTAGTGTTGTCGGCATCTTTGTCTAATTGCATTACGAAGACAACACTGCAGTGGGCAAGGGACAGGATCCAGAAAACTACACAGGCCAACTGTGCGTGGACAACCCTGCCTGGTGCTGTGAATCTTACGGGATACGCCACGCTGAGGAAGCGCTCCACACTCACCGCGGTCAGGAGGAGGGTGCTGTTGTAGATGGTGGAGTAGAACAGGAAACCAGTGACTGGACATAGGAAGTAAGGGAGGGTCCAGTTAAAATCATCAACAGCCTCCTTCATCTTGAAGGGCAGAAAAGCAAGGAAGATGAGGTCGGAGATGGTCAGGTTGAGTAGCAGGATGTCGATGGGGGCAGGTTTGCGACGCACCTTTCGGCAAAAGGTGCAGAATGCCAGGATGTTGGCAGGTACCCCGATCAGGAAGGTGGTGATGTAGACGAACAGTGCAAAGCTGCATGAAATGTGATCTGCAGGCTTCATATTGGCAGGTACTGTTAACGTTGTTGTCACTACAAGAGAGAGAAGAGCATCATGATATACTGACGTTTCAACCCAAAACTATTGGGAGACAGCTATCTGAATGGAATTACACAACTAACATCTCAGATGACGTTGCTGTCTCACTCACTTCCTGTCATTACTTTATTACCATGGAAACACACCACTAAACAGATATGCTATTTCTATAATGACTGTTCATTATCTCTAGTCACACAAAAAGGGCATTCTTAAAATTAACTAAGCTAAGAGGTCATTTCCCCCATAGTGCACACCCTGTTGTGTACTGTTTTATTAGCAAATCCTCTAGTGTCCATAGTTAAACTTAAGAATATATAAACTGAATATTTGGAAATCCTAACCTTAGTTATCAATTATTAGAGAGGATACATTTGCCCCTTGCACTTTTACTAGTTTTCTTAAATGTTATGGACATTTTAAAATGCACATTCTTCTTAGATTTAGGCCGCAAAATATCGAACCCACTTTATCCTTGTGTATGGTTCCCAGCATAGTTTGTACTGTAGTAGTAATGCTTGTTTTATGTTGAGAATACTGATGAATTGCGCCCTCTAGGAACCAATGTCTCATACTGGAGTTCTCATGCTGGAGTTGCAAGTATGGTTAAACTTTGTCCACATAACACACTAAAGCCCCTCAGGGATTAATAAAGTTGTATCCAATTGAAAAGTGCTACCCTAAATAAGCACCACATTTAGACACAAAAAAGGGTACTTCTACACAATACGGGACCTCTTCTTGTTATCTCTTAACCCAAACTTGCAGATGCCCTGAGAAGTGTCAAAATAATTGTAATAGTTTATTTTCATGAATGCAGGATATGGCTTATTTGCAGCATATTGAACAAAGGTATGTATAAAAGCCATACACATTATGGTACAGGTAATTTGCATCACACAAAAAGTGTGACCCCATACTAAGATATTACATGGTAGATTTATAATCACACAGTTCTGCATGAGTAAAAACGTATTATTTTAATGGAAGTGTTTGAAGATTATTTTCAGTTTCTCTTGTACAAAGGTCATGGATAACGGCTATGGATAAGGAACCATGTTGCATTTGCTAAAACATCCCTCACTGATGGTACTCTCAAATAAAAGTAAGAAATTATTAAAGTGAATTTACTCACCAAAGAAGGCCTTTTCCTCACTCGTTACCATAAATGCACTTCAACTGACCTCAACCTTTTTATACTCACATTAGGATGTATCTATGATGAGGAAGTGACTAACAAGAAAATGATGAAATGATAAACAGTTTGAGGGACTTTCACTGAATGCTTATAATATTTTATCAAATTTAGGTAGTCTCAATTAATCTTACTAATAGGGTGGATAATTTAATGGATCTGAAACACTGAACACTATCACGTTGAATTAATCAAGTTATTCATAGTTCATAATGTCTCTTTTAAATGGGTATGTATCCTTCAAAAGCAACCCCCAGGCACTTTGGACTTCAGAACAAATATACACAACACAATACTTGCTCAGTTTATATTTTATTCAGACATTTCTCTTGCACAAGTAAGGTAGTGATTTACATGTAAATATTACAAAGTCAAATCCTCAATTAGAAGCAGGTTCTAAAAACAAATAATTCTCAGTTAATTCACATTTAGAGATTAGAGAAACATTAATTATAGTCATAACTGTTTCTGGTTGAGATTTCTGGTTGAGATTTCAAATGTATTGATTCTGAGACTGTCAGATATAAAATTAGGACATGTTTCTGATTAACTTTATGTTCAGCAGCATTTCAGATCAGAATTAATTAGTGCATTTTACATTCATCTTCGTAAACTCCTTAAAGCTCCCAGTGTAAGCTGGTCAGTAACATTTGATGCTGTAAATAACAATCAATAAATGATGGTTCTATTTACATTTATCTGTTATTCATAAGATCACTGTGGTTTGTTATCTATAACTTTCTAAAGATTTCAGAGCATAGAAAGCATAGAGTATCATGAGAACACAAGATATTATTATTTTTGTCATCAATAATTGTGCAGATTTTTAGATTGTCCCTTGTTCCAACCTCAGCTCTGCCCATTTTGAGCATTACCAGTCCTATTTCTTAGTGTATTCCACATCAGCCTCAGTTCTCCACTTAATTTTGTCCTAAACTATTTCCCATGTCTTGCATGTGTTGTTTGTGCAGATTATTCCTGATTTAACTTGGAAATGTTTGCTCCTGTCTGTCTGTCGGTCAGAGACACCACTCCCCTCACATTAGCCAGAGGGTCCCGTGTGATGATTTTGCTACCATGGCGCCCCTCTGTCCGGCTGTAACTGCTGGGCCTTCCACAGAGCCTTCCCATGAGGCCGCGGGGCGTTGCCGGGGACAGCATCAGCATGACCACAGGCTCTAGGAAGACGTTACAGGCACTGGACAGCATGGCCTCAGTTCTCCAGTGGATGTTCTCCTGCAGCACAAAGCCCACGATGTGTGAGGCATTGTAGGGCGCGTAGCACACCACAAACACAGCCAGCGTGGAGAGGGCCACAGCCAGGACGCGCCTCTTTCCCAGGACGGGCAAGCAGGACTGCCACACCAGGGCCACGCAGCGCAGCGTGCAGAAGGCGGTCACGGCCAGTGGCAGCAGGAAGAGGAGGAGCGCCATCTCCAGGCGCAACGGCCGCAGCAGGTCCAGCTGGTCCTGGGTGAAGTTCTCGAAGCAGACCGACACATTATGGCTGGAGGTGGACACGAAGCCGCCTCCGCCTTCTGCCACCAGGCCCAGACTCAGGTGCAACAGCACCACTGCCCACAGGGCGGCGCTAATGAAGCAGGAGATGCGGCCCCGCCGGTACAGCTTGTAGCTGATGGGAAAGGCGATGCTGAGGTAGCGGCCCACCGTCACGACCGTGAGGAAGAGGCAGCTGCCGTAGATCGAGGAGAACAGGAAGAAGCTGTAGACGGGACAGAGGGGCGACGGAAGAGCCCAGTCCTGGAGGAAAGTCTCCAGGGCCTTGACGGGCAGCCAGGCCACCAGTGTCAGGTTAGCCAGGCACAGGTTGAGTGCGTATACCACGTTGGGCGTGGCACCCCGCTTGCGCGCCTTGCGGACGTACACGAAGAGCACCAGCAGGTTGGAGGGGAGGCCCAGAAGGAACGTAAAGGAGTAGACCATCAGGGAGACACAGTCCTTGGCGGGCACTTGCATTGCTTCAGCTTCAGGAGCATAGGAGGCACTGCATCAGAAGCAACTGAAGTCTCGATTCTGCAAGTAAAATCATTTGAGATGGGAAGAAAAAACACACCTGTCCTGTGGCAGACGTAATGGATGTTAAAAGTAAGATCTCTTAAAGCGACTCGATTGAAAACAAATTCCAAATCACATACAGTAAATCCTCTATGTGCAATCACAGATCCTCTCCTGTTCCTCAGTCCTCTAGCTTCCATTTGTGGACAGCATTCCTCTAGTGAAGTCGCAACGCGCATCAATAGGACAGTTTCCCACCATGCGAGCACATCACTCTCTCCTCCACACACAGGCTTGGCACTGAGCGAGATAGAGCAGGGAGGCAGAGACAACTTTTTGGTGACAATAGTATAGAGAGCGGAAGTGGGGTGATACTGGCGTGTGTATGTGTGTGTGGGCATGAAGGGGCAGGGTGCAGCATGACAGGTAGACAGATAAGGGGAGGTGCCCATTCAAGCAGAAGTGTTTTTAGGCATTTAGGAGGCACCAGCGTGTCTTAATGGCCCCCAGGATCGGAGACGACAGACAGCAAGGCAGCATCTGGACCCTTTAGTGAAATGATTCAGAATAATTGGGCTTGTCAGGAAGCGCATGCCCATCCAGCCCCTGCACGGCCACTCTAAATGAAGTTGAGGGTCAGGCAGTAAAGTCATAAAGTGCTACGGATGATGGTCATCGCGTGGGAGCAGGGTAGTAGAGCTTTAGGGTTGGGCGACTACTTTGTGGCACAAGGGAGATTCTCTATGCTTTATAGCAGTAGGAAAACAACCTGGTGTGTTTGTATGTGTGCGCTTGGGTGTGTAAGTGACATAAATTACTCTTCATGGGAGAGAGAGAAGATTAGAGAGAGGTTGGATAGTTGTGTGTGTGCAAATAAAAATGTAATCAGTATAGAGGATGACTCTTGTGAGTTTTATCATGAAGAAAAACAATTCTCCCTCTCAGTGTGCAGCTTTGTTCAAAGAGGGAAACCTGAAAAAACAGCTATCCTTATATACATTTATGTGTAAGAGCACTATGGGCCAGTTTCCCGGACACAGATAAAGCCTAGTTTTGGACTAAAAATTAGGGTCAATGGAGAATCTCCATTGAAATAGATTTTGGGTCCAAGCTAAGCTTAATATATGTCCGGTAAACCTGCCCTTTACGTTTTATTTGTCTGAATTGGTATTTAAATTAGCCTTTATTTCCTTTATTGAATGAAACACAAAGGAGAATGATATGTATCATTGCTGTTGGTTTGGTCTCCACAGGACTGATACACACACACACACACATAGGTGTGATCGATAGAGAGCAGAGGAAGTCCAGATACAGAGCAGAGGAAATGCAGTGTGATGTGTGCAATGTGATCTGTTAATTGTGCGGTGTGTGTGTGTACAGATTTGTGTGTGTGTACAATTTGATCACTGTTGTTGCTGAGAAATTCAAATGAGCCTTTTGAGTTATATAAATTCACTGACAGCCTGCAGTTCTCTTTCACTATTGCTCGCTGAAACGCTAAAGCACCAGACAGAATAAATGTCCTACTACTGTAGGTCCTAGTATTACAACATTCAAATGTAAAAAATAATAATCTAAAATTCAGCCATACAAAGAAACAACAGTTGTTTTACAGTATATAGCTTAATAACACAAGATAGATATTGGTCTCCACTACGACATACAAGTGTATCCGAAATGCAGCCGTAGGCTACACCTAAACTATAGCCTAAAGTATGTGGACACCTGCTCGTCGAACATCTCGTTCCAAAATCATGGGCATTAATATGGAGTTGGTTCCCCCTTTGCTGCTATAACAGCCACTCTTCTGGGAAGGCTTTCCACTAAATGTTGGAACATTGCCTGATCTCACACAGCATTAGTGAGGTCAGGGCTCTGTGCAGGCCTTTCAAGTTCTTCCACACCAATCTCGACAAACCATTTCTGTATGGACCTTGCTTTGTGCATGGGGGTATTGTCATGCTGAAATAGGAAAGGGCCTTCCCCAAACTGTTGCCACAAAGTTGGAAGCACAGAATCGTCTAGAATGTCATTGTGTGCTGTAGCATTAAGATTTCCCTTCACTGGAACCTAGCCCGAACCATGAAAAACAGCCCTAGACCATTATTCCTCCTCCACCAAACTTTACAGTTGGCACTATGCATTGGGGCAGGTAGAGTTCTCCTGGCATCCGCCAAACCCAGATTCGTCCGTCGGACTGCCAGATGGTGACGCGTGATTCATTACTCCAGAGAACCACTGCTCCAGAGTCCAATGGCAGCAAGCTTTACACCACTCCAGCCGACGCTTGGCATTGCGAATGCTGATCTTAGGCTAGTGTGCGGCTGCTCGGCCATGGAAACCCATTTCATGAAGCTCCTGACGAACAGTTCCTTTGCTGACGTTGCTTCCAGAAGCAGTTTGGAACTTGGTAGTGAGTGTTGCAACCGAGGACAGACAATTTTTACGCGCTTCAGCACTCTGCGGTCCTGTTATGTGAGCTTGTGTGACCTACCACTTCGAGGCTGAGCCGTTGTTGCTCCTAGATGTTTCCACTTCACAATAAAAACACTTACAGTTGACCGGGGCAGCTCTAGCAGGGCATACATTTTATGAACTGACTTGTTGGAAAGGTGGCATATGACGGTGCCACGTTGAAAGTCACTGAGCTCTTCGGTAAGGCCATTCTACTGCTAATGTTTGTCTATGGAGATTGCATGGCTGTGTACTCGATTTTATACACCTGTCAGGAACGGGTGTGGCTGAAATAGCCTAATCTACTAATTTGAAGGGGTGTTCACATACTTTTGTATATATAGTGTATATAAAACACATGTTCTATGTTCTACGTTCTGCACAGCACTTGTGGCTACACTAGAAATATTATGAGAATAAGATTCTGAGAAAAATCTGTCTCATTCCTCCTCTTTAAAAGATACCATCTGACACAAACAAGCACATTTGGAGACATTAAAACAGGCTGATAAGGCCGTTTATTATCAATGGTTCTCTTTCCTGTGTGTGTTTACCTTGTTTTTATCTAGCTACCTCCTCGTATGAGACAAAGGTCATGGCCTAATAAACATCATACCCAGGACTCTGGATCAAAACAACCTCTTTTGGACTGCATCCCAAATGGCACACTATTCCCTATACTGTATAGTTCACAAATTTTGACCATAGGGCTCTGATCAAAAGCACTATATAGGATGCCATTTGGGACGTAGTTTTGGCCAAACAATGCGTGGATAGACAGAGGATAAACAGGGTCGTTAATGCTAATGCTCAATAAACATAAATCACCTTAAACGTGGTTCATGGAATAGGTTAGGTAGTTTAATTCTTAGGAGCACAATTTGACCCTACACTACCACTTCCAAACTCCATCCCCAGGTGGCAGCAGCAACTGGTCTGTGCTGTGCTCTGCAAGAAAGTCTTGTCAAGTGTTGATTGTGCAAAGGTGTGGGTGATCGGAGGATGAAGCAGCTTGCAGAGCCGCGAGGCTGCTGGAGTTTGATGGCCATGAGGTTTTGGTTTGAAACTTTAGTTTTGAGCATGCCTTTTTGTAGTTTCCTTTTTGTATATATTTATTTTCATCACCATAAACTGAACACACAATAAGCCGCTTGGGCCGAGAGTCAAGACAGAGCAGGTAAGGTTGCTGTCTCTTGGGGCACATGCATACAACACGGTCCGCATACTCTGATTTCTCACGTAAATGCACACTTTAAATCAGGTAAGATACCATTTAGCTAGGCCTGGGACCCCTAGACTTAGCGAGTGAAGTAATGTCAGTAGGCAGTAGCTGGTTTCTTAACACATGCGCGAATCAGACGTGTTTCTTAAACGTGATCACGTTCAGAGATGCAACCTGCCTCCCTGAGAAACTACATATTTGGGTCAACCTGTCAATTGGAAAATTATTTCAGATTATTCTGAAAAATGACCATGTATACTGAACAAAAATATAAACGCAACATGCAACAATTTCAAAGATTTTACTGAGTTACAGTTTATATAAGGAAATCAGTCAATTTAAATAAATTCATTAGGGCTTAATCTATGGATTTCACATGACTGGGCAAGGGCGCAGCCATGGGGAGCCAGGCCCAGCCAATCAGAATGAGCTTTACTAGATGCTGTTCTTCTGCTAATCTCACTGCAACTCCCCTCCATGTCTCCGACCACTACTTTGTATCCTTTTCTCTCTCGCTCTCCTCCAACACTACTCACTCTGCCCCTACTCAGATGGTAATGCGCCGTCGCCACCTTCGCTCTCTCTCTCCCGCTACTCTCTCCTCTTCCATCCTATCATCTCTCCCCTCTGCTCAATCCTTCTCCCTCCAATCTCCTGATTCTGCCTCCTCAACCCTCCTCTCCTCCCTTTCTGCATCCTTTGACTCTCTATGTCCCCTATCCTCCCGGCCGGCTCGGTCCTCCCCTCCAGCTCCGTGGCTTGATGACTCATTGCGAGCTCACAGAAGAGGGCTCCGGGCAGCCGAGCGGGAATGGAGGAAAACTAGACTCCCTGCGGACCTGGCTTCTTTTCACTCACTCCTCTCTACATTTTCTTCATCTGTTTCTGCTGCTAAGGCCACTTTATACCACTCTAAATTCCAAGCATCTGCCTCTAACCCTAGGAAGCTCTTTGCCACCTTCTCCTCTCTGCTGAATCCTCCTCCCCCTCCCCCTCCCTCCTCCCTCTCTGTGGATGACTTCGTCAACCATTTTGAAAAGAAGGTTGACGACATCCGATCCTCGTTTGTTAAGTCAAATGACACTGCTGGTCCTGCTCACACTGCCCTACCCTATGCTTTGACTTCTTTCTCCCCTCTCTCTCCAGATAAAATCTTGCGACTTGTGACGGCCGGCCGCCCAACAACCTGCCCGCTTGACCCTATCCCCTCCTCTCTTCTCCAGACCATCTCCGGTGACCTTCTCCCTTACCTCACCTCGCTGATCAACTCATCCTTGACCGC